GTGAAAGTTGTGGTTTGTTCATAAATGTGATGATAATAGGACAAAGATACCAGCACTCATAACAGATATACTAACAATGACGATGATATTGATAATTTCGACGATAATAAAGATGACGATTGTAATGATGCTGAAGATTATGACAATAATAAGAATGAAGATTAAATATTAATAATGATAATGATGATAAAGATAATGACAATGAAGATAATGATAATAATTATAACCACAATAACAATTATCATAAAAATCATAACATTAATAACAAAAACAATACCAAAAAAATAACAATAGTGAGACACAAAAGATACTCCAAGAATTAAAAAAAAATACACGAGATAAACCAGGAAACGAAACGAAGAGAAAGAAATTCCACAAGTGATAACACTATCATTCCTGATAATTCCACGAACGCATCCACAGTGTGTCATATGGCTCTGCCGTGTCACATGAGATTGCCCTGTTCAAGCCACATAAACTTTGAATTTCATTGGCAAAATGGCCGCCTAAATGACACGCCCAGCCTATAAACACAAGTTATTGTTGCATGCATTTTTTTTTCTTTTTTTTAGGAGGGGAGTGCATATGAGTGTTTGTCGTGACGGATCAGAGACAAAAGAGAGAGAGAAAAAGATGAAAAAATAAAAATATTTTCTCTTTTTGATATATGCATATCTATCTATCTATCCATCTCCATTTATCCATCCATCTCTACCTATCTATCTATCTATCAATCTATCTTTCTCTATCTGTCTATCCATCTCTATCTATCTATCTATCTCTATCTATCTATCTATCTCTATCTATATATCTCTATCTATCTATCCATCTATATCTATCTATCTATCTATCTCTATCTATCTATCTATCTATCTCTATCTATCTATCTATATCTATCTATCTATCTATACACACACACACACACACACACACACACACACACACACACACACACACACACACACACACACACACCACACACACACACACACACACACACACACACACACATATATATATGTATATATATTATATATATTATAATATATATGATATATATATATATATATAATAGTATATATATATATATATGTATGTGTGTGTGTGTGTGTGTGTGTGTGTTGTGTGTGTGTGTGGTATGTGTATATATAATATATATATATATATATATATATATTATATATATATATATGTATGTATATATTATATATATATATATATATATATGTAATAATATATATATATTATATATATATATATATATATATATAATATATATGTATGTATACCTGCCGTTAGGCACAAAGTAAAGAAATAAAACAAACAAACCTATAAACTAAACAAAGACAAAGTCATACAATTTACTTTTACTCACCATAACAGTGATAAAAAAAAAAAAAAACAATGATAATAACGATGGCCATCAACACAAGAGGAGCTTAACGAGCGCAGGTTTCGGCAGGTACGATATAAAATGGTTAGTGGTCCTACGAGGCCATAGAATCGAGGGGGGTCCTTCAGTGTTGATTTAGAAAATTAAGGCGGAATCATCAAGTTAATTGGAAAGTTATCGTGTTATTCTGCCTCGGCGACATTTCCCCGGACCTTCGTCTCTGTGTGGTCGTGTGTCTGTTGTGTGTGTAGGGGGGGGAGGGGAGGGGGGGAGAGAGGGAGCAGAGGAGAGAGGGAGGGGAGGGAGGAAGGGAAGGGAGGGAAGGGATGTGAGTAGAATTGGAGTGAGGTGGGTATTGGGAATGGGATGGTGTAGGGTGATTGATGAGAGATGGGGAGTGTGATGTGGTAATTAGGGGAATGGTGAGAGGGGTGATGTAGGAGGGAGGAAGGAGAAGGAATGGAAGGGTAGGGTTGATTGGAAGGGAGGAGGGTGGGGAGGGGAGGAGAGGGAAGAAGGGGGGGAGGAAAGGAAGGGAGGGAAAGGGAGGAGAGGGGAGAGGGGAGGGGAGGAAGGGGGAGGAAAGGGCGGGAGATGGAAGGGGCGGGAAGAGAAAGAGAATGAGCACGAGGAAGGGGTTGATATGGGAAGGGGGGAAGGTAGGAGAGGGAGAGAGGAAGGGGGGGGGGTATGGGAAACAGGGGGAGGATGGAGGAGGAGGGGGGTGAGAAATGGATAATTGTGTATGTGTGGTTGAAGTTTTTGATGTAAATGTTCGGGAAAGAATAAGAGAATGAGGGGGAAAGAAAGGTGAGGAAGATAGAGGAAGGGACGGTGGAGGAGGGGAAGGAGGAAAAGGGGAAGGTAGGGGGGTAATGGTATGTGGTGTATGTGTCTGGAAGGGAACATAGGTAAGAGAAGAGAGAGAGAATAGTGGAGGAAGGAATGGGAATAGGAAGGAATGAGGATAGATGAGAGGGAAGGAGAACAGCGGGAGGGAAGGGAGAGAAGGAATCAATAAAGATGAAAGAGGGAAGAACTGATAAAGAAGAAAGAGATAGAGAAACAAGAGAGGAGAATAAAAGGGGAGAGGGAGGCAAAGAGGGG